TATATATATATATATATATATATATATATATGCTTCTTAAGTTAATGCTATTGTTTTTAATTTATTATAATTTAAATTTTGTTTTATAGGAGCTTAGCATCCACACACCATACTTAAAAGAAGATATTCATGACATCCGACCACGTTGAGTCAGTGTCTTCTTATCTCATTATGAATCTCGACAACACAATAATAATTTTTCTTGATTTCTATAATCTTATTTTGTATATGAACAAAGGTTTTTATCATTTTGATGTGCAAATATGGTCATGTTAAATGAGTGTATTCTGTCTTGATGATAACAATGTAAATTTACATATTTGATTTAAAATGATATGATATATTCCAATTATGTTACATATTTTGTAGTTTCTATGTAAAAAATGATACATACAGGTTAATAGATTTATAATGATATAATACAGGCCAGTAAAAATGATACAGACACAAAAATAATACAAGTCAGTGAAATTGATACAATACAACTAAAAAATTTCATTTTAATCCCTCAGTTATTACATAAATTTGAGGTAAATGAATGTATTATTATCTCAGATTATAAATAAAACCAAAATTTATATGACACGCGCAACAAAATGTAGAAAATAAAAATATGCAGTTCATAGGAATCGAGCTCATAACCTTTTAAATTATAACTTTAATTTTAAAACATTAAAGTGTTAAGTGTTAACTTTTCATGCCGCCATTCATTACTTCATTTAGGTAGCAAAAATGCAAATCTCTAAAAGTATTCTTGATTTTAAGTAATTATATGAAATTTGTAGAGAATTGAATTTACTTAAAAATAGGCTTTTTTGGGGAAGAGTTGATGAAACATGTGAAATTTATGCCAAGCAATTTGACAAAGGTTATAATTTAACTTTATGATCAATGAAAATGTCTAAACAAAAATCAACAACATAATATCAAAACAGGGCCTAATGTTGCATAAAATTGCACAAGGCCCTTATCAGAGTTTTACCTTATTAATTAAAGTAATTGTGATTTAGCATAATACACGTTGAAAAGAAAGACCAAAGCAAAAATGCAAAAGCATAAAACACTTACCAACTTCCTCCTATTTATATGAAGAATCCTAGGATTAGGGTTCATACACGTTGAAGGTTTTTGGGTTTTGGGTTAGGTTAAGGTTCTTCACGAACCCTCAGGGTTCATATGAACCCAGAAGATGGTTTGGTTTGAATGTGGTGGTTCCTTGGAGCAGTCGCCGACAGAAACAATTTCCTACTAGTGGCGTTCAAGACGGAGGCGATTTCTGGTGACAGAAATCTAGAGAGAAGCTGGAGCTTCTCTTTCTAACCTCCAACATACGTTTGTTTGATTTTGTGAGAAGAGAGAGAGCGAGAGCGAAAAATGAGCCATGGGCTCAGGAATTCGTTTTTTGTAGACACTCTCTGTATCCTGTACATTACTCTTATTGTGCACCCTCAACTTCCACCAAGCGATCTTCATCCAACGTTTCTAAAACGCGCGTCCATCATAACTTGCAATACTCGCCCACACTTTGTCCAACGAATCAAACACATTTGTTCTGGGCCAAACCCGTTTGAATCACACCCCCGATTTTACTAGATCAACTATAATTCTTACCGCCTGACCTACTGGGCCAAGTCCAACATCTGGACTTGGGCCTTTACTTCCTGCACCTCCAATTTTTGCTATTACCTTCAAATTCACACCCCTTGCGCGTTGGGCCTAAATTCAATATCTGGATTTAGGACCTTACTATTCATACTCCCAGCCTTTTACTAACGAACTGTTTTCGCACCCCCTGTATAAATTAATTAAAATTAATTTTTTTTATAACTTTACTTATTTATTTATTCATTTATTTATTTATTTATTTATTATTTTGCATAATTAATATTTAAATAATAAACTTATTTTATTAATTCAAATTCCTTTTATTACTAACTCATTCAAATACTTTAATTGCAATAAAATTATTTTTTCTCATGCATTAAAAAGATTTTTTCATATATTAAAATATTTGAAAATATCTAACCAATCAAATTACTAACAATTTTCTACTAACCTAATTCAAACCGTATATATATTTTCAAAAAGGATTATGGAGATATTTCTCATTAACTGCGAACTTCGTCTAACAACTCCGTAATTTACAAACCCATACTTGGTTCAAGGAGAATTCGAGATATTTCTGTAATCCATAAAAAACACCAACAAACAACTGCGAACTACGAATTGAGACTCTGATTCCTCTTAAGAGGATACATAGACATAGAACTTAAAAATCGTGGGGAGTTCCCCTAATAAAAATTAAAACTCTATTTCCTAAGTCGTAAAATCTAAATCCTGGTATCCTTGTGAACAAGGTAGATGAGGGGTGCCTAACATCTCCCCTTTGTCTAAAAACGAGTAATCAATTTAGAATCTCTGACCAAATTAGGGTTATCCGTTATATTCCCTTCCCTGGGATAAAAATTAGTGGTGACAACTCTCATTTTTAAATCGGTTATAACAGGTGAGTGGCTCTTGGAGGCGGCTTCGACTTTTTTGTCTTGTGATATTGATGAATTACCTTTCAAATTCCTTGGTGTAAAGGTTGAGGACGGCCCTAGAAAACTATCTATGTGGAATGATTTGATCAATCATGTGAAGAGTAAGATGGCTATTTGGAAAGGTAAGCACCTTACTTTTGCGGGTCGTGGGGTGTTGATTAACTCGGTCTTGAATGCAATCCCCATTTACACTTTATCTTTTTACAAAGCGCCATCTAAAGTTTTACAAAAGATTTGCCGAATCTAAAGTAATTTCTTATGGCAAGGTTGTGAGAATAGAAGGACAATTCATTGAGTGAGTTGGAATACCGTTTACAAACCCCATGATCAAGGTGGGCTTGGTGTTAAAGATGTAGAGATATTGAATTTAGTGTTATTAAATACTCCTTCCATTCTCTTTTTTAAGAAATTTTTGAATTTTGAAGTTCATTCAATAAAGGCTATATTCAGAATATATATAGACTAGATACATTACTTGTTCAATGAATCCAAAAAGTTAATTTTTACTTATAAAAGAGAATGGGGAGTAAGTGGAAATGGAAGATTTTGATGGAGAAAGACGCAATTTGGACTAGTATTTTGAAAAATAGATACGGCAATATCGAGACCAAGGTGCAAATTGGCGGACAATAGTGTGTTGCATAATAATGATTCAATCGGGTGGCGGGATTTGATCTTATCTGACAACTCTGTAGTTGTCGTCCATAATCGTTTTGCAGGTTCAGTTCTCAACAGAGTCAACAATGGTAGAGGCACTGTCTTTTGGCAGTTGAACTGGCTGGGGTTGCAACCTCTGCAGGCATCATTTCCCGAGATCTTTAAGCACACGAGCAACAGACTGGGCTGTGTTGAGGAACTTTGTCGATTTGGTGGATAATGTGGAGGAGATTGAACCAAGTATTTGGGATGAGTTTTTTAACATGCTTCTGGCTGAGTCATTGGACAAAATTGCAAGCAACGATTACGAGTGGCATAAAGGAATTGGAGGTATTTTTTCCGTAAAATCCTGTTATGAGATTTTTAATAATGGTTCTGTTGGTTCTTTTATTGCGGATGATGTTGTGAAAGCTATAATCACTTATGGTAGGTCAAAGTCCCGTCTAATATATTGATTTTCGGGTGGAGATACCTCCTCAATAGTATTCCCACCAAAGACAATTTGGTTAGACGGGGACTTTTGACGGATAAAAACTACGTTTCAGCCTTAGTAATGATGAATCTATTTCGCATTTTTTTGCCTCTGTTTTTATTCAGTTAGCATTTGGAACAAGGTTTTTAATTGGATAGGAAGTGGGCTGGAGTTATCTTTGTTGGAATTGGTGACTTTTTTCCTTTAATGTAAGAAGATGAAGAATAAGTTGAGAAGAATGTCCGTCGCTGTAATATGGTTGCAACTGTTTGGAGCATTTGGTCGTGAACTTGGTTATCTTGTTTTTGTAAAACTAGGGATTGCTGTAATTTTTTTGTTTGGAATACTCAATCTCTCCTATGTTTTAGGATGTAACAATTGAGAATAAAAGATTCCAGTGGAAGGTGCTGAGAGTGTGGGGAGAACATAAATGCGTCCACAAATCTTAGCAAGTGAATCCTGTTTTCCGCATTGTTGGCGATTCTATCGTTGATGTGTAAAACTTTGAGTGAGTGGCATATAGGAATCGATTTCTTAGAAAGAAGGATGGTTTTGAAAGCATGTTTGGCTGTGAGAAAAGAGAGAATATGAGATAGTATCTCGTCTAGTAAGTCATTGATGGAGGACTCTGATTGCGGCATTTTGATCCTCTTAGTATTTTGGTTTGTGGAATGAGGCGGTTGGGGAAGATGGTTTTCCATGACCTAGCTTTCCTATTGAAGAGAGCGAGTGAAGTCACTTAATACAGCCCTAGTCAAGTGCAGTTATACACAAGCGGTTCCGTATAATTTGCTTGCACTTACGTCACACACACCTTTGAACATAATAAAAGTGTCAAAGTCAATATCTTCAAAACGTCATATTCGCGCGCAGAAAACAAATCATACGCAGAAAACTCTAACTTCACCATCCACGTGTCTCACTTCAAAACCATTAAAACCTCACTCTCTCGTTTCGTTTTTAAGAAATGTAGTTTCTCATTTTACATATTAGTATCGGCTAAATGACAAACTACACTTAATTTGAAGAGGCAAATTTTCTCAAAGAAAAACTTCATGTTATAAAAATTATAACCAACACAATGCTACTCATGAAAAGATAATTAGAAGCATGACTCCAAGAAACTTCCAACAAGAGAAAGAAAAAGTAGTTTCAATTCAAGTATCACCTTATTATCATCAAAACTCAAACCATATCAAGAACCCGCATAAAATAACAGTTCTTTTACATCAGCTTCTCTTGTTAATCAATACTTGAAATTGCAAAAAATAACAGTACAAAATATTTGGTCATTATCAACAGTAAAGAACTGAGAGTACATATTTGGTTCATTGAGAGGGAGGAAGAGGGGAAGTATTTCTTGATGCCGTGTCCTGTGGAGCGCCTGATGAGTCTGGTAGAGAGTCTGACGTTTCCGGTGTAGAAAGCACATCTGGCCGCAGGTGACTTCGCGGAGAGTGTGGTAAGGTGACGGTGTAGACTCCTCCGGTAGTTTGGACTAAATATTCATGTGGAGGTGAAGGTTGTGGCTCCTCTGGCCATGATTCTTGTGGTGAAGCGTCCGGGTCTGGCCACGAATCTGGTGATCCCAGCTGAGGATCTTGGACTAATATTTGTGGCTGTGGTGGAATGTTTAGCGGCTGCTGTGGCGGAGAGTGTGACGTTGAAGGTAAGTTGGTCGGCGATTGCCAAGGAGAGTTAGACTGTGGAGAGGAGTTGGGTGGCGGTTGCTGTTGTGGTGGAGAGGAGTTTGGTGGCGGTTGCTGTTGTGGTGACTGAGGTACTACCGGAAGTTCTTGCTCAGGTGAAACAGGCGGAGAAAGATTTAAATTGGGCAGTATTGGTTTGGGAGGATTAGGATCCATGGTTATTTCTCAAGATTTCAATGCTATCTTGGATACAAAGTAAGAGAGGAGGAGGAGGAGAATCTAATTTAATAGTGTGAGAGTTTCAAATTTCAACTAACTGAATAACAGTATTTCAGTTAGTTAGTTTCTTGTATATGTAATGATAAGGATCTTGTATCTATATAACTAAATAATTATTTTTCGTCTTCCTTGTAAAACTCAATTCCTATATAAGTAATGATAGGATAAATGTATCCATATTAAATTTATGATTGAAAAACACTTTTTTCCTATTATTATGTATATTAAAAAAACTGAAAACAATTTATCAAATAAGTTCTTACATTCTTAGGCAACTCATCTTTGTTTTAAATTTTAGAATCTCTTTTGATATTCTCTGGCATGAAATTGTTTTTTAATAAGTATTTCGAAAGCTTTTGCAGTATTTTTCTCAAACATGGAACTTCATTTAAGTGAACACAAAGACTTCTTCATATAGGAGAAGAGAAATGGCCAACAAAGGAAATAATCTCAAGGTTGAGGCCGATCTCTAATCTATTAACTTGCAGCATTAATTAATCAAACCTAGCTAGGAAACAAATTAGCCAAATTAAAAAAGTAATTGATTAAGAGGATTTCTAATTAATTAAGTGGCGAGCTTGTTCTATAATTGATTAGATACAAGTTTTAATAGATTAGAGAGTGAGATTTCAGTTTCCAAATTGGACAGAGCATTTTAGATACAAGTAATAATAGATTAGAGAGTGAGATTTTAGTTTCCAAATTGGGCATAGCAATTCCTAATTGATAAGATAAAGGCCCAGAATGATTTTAAAGAAGGTTTTAGAAATATATGATGTTTGCAAAATCATTTTTAGTGTGTGCATTATTTATTACTTTGAGATCTACTCACACTCAACTTATAGATCTTAAACAAATAAAATTACACTATACTTTTTCCGTGAAATTTGGTAAATAAGCGTTCTTTTAAAAAAAAATTATTTGTATGATCGACTAGATTGATCCTAGAACATGCTGTGTCAAAAGTTTCTTAAATTTTTTTGTATAATTTTCTAGGTAAAAGATTGAGACTTTGACGTATGCGAAATCTTAAAGTGAAAGATTAAAGACAAGTGCAGAAAATGTAAAGGTTTTCAACAAAAAGCAAATACTGAAAATAGACTTAATGTAAAATATTTGAAATTGATTAAGGGTGATGTTTGAATACATACATTGCACTCGGTTACTCTTCTCTCACTTCGCTCGGATACTTTGAGTATTTAGAGTTTTTTATAGTAATGTCAACACACGGAAAATCTAATACTAATATTCCTATTTTTACTAAAATTGAAATAACTGTAACAAACGGTCTTTTCCTCATAGAATGACACATTTTCGTCTGCATGCACTTCGCCTTCAGCTTGTTTCAACGCGTACTTCAGAAATAGATAAGGCCAAAAAGCAGTTGCTTAGCCTCGTTTCATGTTTTTAACTCCTTTAAGTTGAAATAATAATTAAATCATTCTAAAAATGATTAAGTCCCAGCATCATCGTACACTTAGGAAATATAGTATATATCTTAACGAGTGGCTGTCGAAAATCCTTCCCAACTTGCTTGTCGAAAATTCCATAGACTTAATTAGATTTATTTAAGTATTTCTTTGAGTATTTCTTCGATCCTTTCTTTAAGTATTTCTTCAATCCTTTAAGCTAACAAATTTCCCCCAAAAAATGTCTTTTTCGTCCAACAGAAGAAAAAAGATATTTTTTTGAATGCTTCGACACAATAGTCATCCACTATTATAACGTCATGGTCATCATGAACACTTTTTCCAAACGTCTCATTGAGATGTGCGATGCTAAGAGATTAGTCACGATCCCTACTTTCTAGGAACAACATGGCCACTAAAAAGGCTAACCGCTCGATTGGCCTCTAAATGAAAAACATGTGTTCTACGACTGCACTCCACTTGCATAGTTTAGAAATTGAATAGTTTCTTCCTTCTACTATAAATACCTCATCTTCTTCATTTTCTTTATTTTCCCCCTTTTCAACTCGTTTTAACTTCTAGTTTTCTATGCAACTTTCCTCAGTGAACACGAAAACCATCTTTTCTTTCAAATCTTTCAACCATTTTCATCATGGTAGCTTCAAAATTCAAGAACAACAAAGATGTCAAGGGATCTAAAGAGATTTTACCACTTGCAAACAAGATTTCAGGTCTGTTGCTAGTGGGAAATCAGGAATATGTTCTTGAACCTCCTCTACAAGAAGAGAAACTTCACATTTTTAAATCTCATGTACTCATTCGTTTTTCTATCTCTGGTGAGATTTACTCACTCATGGGTCCTTTTCCTGATCTTGAAGAAAATGCTGAAAAAATGAGAGACTTTTTCCCTTCTTATCATTGTAGCAAGCTAATAGTTAGCTTGAAGAAGCCAATGACTACTACTTATGACTGCGGTGCCAAATCAGAGTTTCAAACAAAGACTTCTAAGGAAAAATTCATCAATGATACATCTAAGGCAAAATTCATCAATGAGACAAATCAGATTCTCACAAGCTTTTAAACATTGAGTCTTGCATGTTTTGGAAGTATAGCTTCCAGTTGTTTTTCATCTCTACTTGTGTTTAGAGTTTGCTCCAATTGTTGAGTTTAATTGAAGAGGGATTTGAGGAGGGCCTCATATCTAGGTGTGTCTTAGGTAGAAGTTAAGCAAATGGTAGTGATTAGGTGCATAGACTGTAAACTGGAGATTTGCTGTAAGGTATGCAAATTGATACTATCTAGTTGATTTCATCCCTGGCTTGGTAGCCCGTAAAGTAAGAAGGTTGTTCCAAACTGTGTAAACATATCCTGTGTTATTTGCTTTCAGCACTACTATTTTTGTTTATACATCTTACTGTTGTGTGTGAAGTCGGATATGGTGTCTCGACATCTTGTAGGATATTGAGGATCTGATAGCCATAATTTCAATTGGTATTAGAGCAGGCATCCTGCTCTGACTCTGGGTGAGATTCAAGGAAGATACTTTTTGGTGTAATGGACAAGGATGGCAGAACTGTGGTTAAAATACTGATTCTGAATGGTACCAACTATGATAGTTGGAAACCTTGTATGGAAATTGTTAGGCACCAAAAATGTATTAATATTTTGTATAATTATTGGTGCGTTTGATTCTATGTATCGCGAATTATGTTATTTCCCTCTTGTTTAATCAATTAAATAGTTGTAGTTAATCATAATTTGTCTTAATTTTGTAGGATTTTGCTTTGGATTGAAGCTTGGACATTGGAATGGCTTAAAGATGGATTTCAAGCCTTTTTAGAAGGATTTTCTGTGCTCCAATTCGTGCTTAGCACGGTGTCACTGTGATGGAAGAAGCTCTGGCAGAAGTGACCGCGCTAAGCCTGGTCTGTTTGGCTTAGCGTGATCAAGGGCGATTTATCTTTTTTTAGTGAAGCGAGCTTAGCGCGATGCGCCGCGCTTAGTGTGGTCTGCGAAGTTTACCACTTATTTAAATAGATGACTTTAGATGTTTTTTAGGTTATAACACATTTGGAAAGAAGAAAATTGATAGAAAACATTGTAGAAGAAGAAATCAAAGATTCAGAGCATCAATAGTCGAGAAATCACCATTGATGCTTGATCATCTTCTCACTTTACTTATTGTTGAAGCTACCATGTCTATAGATATCTAATTTTCTCTTGTGTCAAGATTAGAGGTAGTTAACCTAACTATTATGTATTTCTTTTGATCATCTTGTGTATGAACTTGGTTGATGATAAATATATGTTGAATATCTTTTCTTTCATTATTATTTTTATGGTTTGGATCACTATTGAGAAGTATGTTTCAAACTTGACCTAAGATATTCATCTATTAATGAGAAAAGTCTAGACATATATTTGTGAGTTAATATTCACAAGTATTAAGCTTTAAAGATTGTTATGTTAATATTTAGATTGAGACATCATCTAATGATTAACATGATAATACTCACAACATTGTTTAGACATAAATGATATTGAGAAGATACGTGGATATATCGATCATTAATTAGTTCATATGCTTGATTAATTGAATACGTATGAAATAGGTTAACGAACACTAATCTTAAACGCCTTTTTATCCGTAAAACCAAAACTTTTTACCGGTCATAACTACTTTTCATGCAAACAAAACTTTCAAGCATTAAAACCTTTGATAAACCCTTACTCAAAATATTGTTAACTATAGAACGACGGTAGTATCACATCAATCTCTGTAGATACGATAAAGAAAATACTTACCTAACAAAAGTGTTTCAATAAAATGGTGTCGTTTCCGGGGATTCGCATTTGATATTGCAAGTGTTGCAATAGTTCTATTGTTTTAAGTTAAATTATAACATTATAATATCTCTTCTTTTTTCACTTGTTTGGCTAGTGTTTTCAGACATTGGTTTATGCGATGAAGTGTTTCTGAAGATCAACTCCTTTTTTACCCTGAAATAGAAAGGACTTGCAGAAGACTTAATAGAAAGACATGAAGGAGGAGAAAGGTAGTTAAGGAAAGGAAATAAAGAGAGGAAGCATCTACTTCTTCAATAGTCCAAAATATAGAAGAAGTTATGGAAGATCCACCACCTTCACCTAGTGGTCCGTGCACAAATAGTCCTAGACGGAATCCTCAGTTTTCTCACCAAGCCAATGGTAATATTCCTTAAAAAGACTATTACCTCATTCTTTGAATTTTTTTTATTAATAACCATGTATTAAAATAATATTTCGCAAATAACCGGGTTTCGGAAAAAATTACGCAAATAACCATGTTTCAGATGGCTCCACAAAGGAGGAGCCATCTCACTTGGCGCCTCCACCTAGGGTTTTGCCCTAGGCGCCATCTCACTTGGCGCCTCCCTTGGCTTTTAGCCAAGTGAGATGGCGCATGCTCCTTAAAAATGAGAGGATGCGCCATCTCACTTGGCGCCTAGGGAAAAACTAGGGCAAAATGCTGTTTTATAAATAATTCGT